AATGTATATAAATCAAGCTACTACTATCTCAAATTGTGCATTTAATCTTGTTATAATTCCAAGTAGCAAGTCAACTCAACCGTAAGGATGTTATTTTCAAATTCTTGCATTCACATTGCAATCTATTCAATCCATTATGATCTTCATTATATATCTCTATAATCTAACTATTTTTAGATAACTATCTATTTTTTGAAAGAAAAAAATAATAAAAAGGATTTTTTACCAACTATTATAGTGCTACTTACAAAGAAGAGAGCAATATGATAGAGTATATACATGTATATAAGAATAAAGGCATTGAGGTTTCAATAACCATTAGTCAAGACCAACAATTGTGACAAAGGCCATACAAGGCTCTATACACTAAAATTTGGTCATATTGATGATAAGAATGAAATTGATTGGTGGTCATTATTCATAACATGAATAAACTTTTAATCTTAAAAACCATTGCATTGCCATTAAAATACAATATTATTGAAAATAGCCATCATTGCATTATAATCTTAGTACTTGATGCATTTGTAGAACCATCACATGATGTTAGTTCTTGAAGCAGTTGCATATATCATATTATAAATAGCCTTGAAATCACATCTAACAAGAATAGATCTCAATAAAGAATAAAATCACATTCAACTCATACAAAAATCAATACCAATTATATCATTGATATTATAACTTTAAAATCTTTATTTCACTTTAGATTTTTGAATACCATAAATAAGCTATTGCATACCAATGTGTTTTTTTAGAGCACTTTGTAATTAAAGCAATGACAAAAGAAAATCAAGTTTTGAAGCCCAAGGTAAGAAGCGAAGAGATCAACTAGCCAGCAAAAAACTTAAATTGCAATAAATTATAATTTTGAAGCAAAAGTTGCAACTACAAGCAATTCATAGATTGAGAGGTTGAATTTACTAAAATTAAAAATCTTTGAAATAATTTGTGAATGATAATATAAATCAAAGTTATTTCTAAATTAATTTTAAGTATAATTTAAGAAGATTTTTTTTTAAATAATTAAATAATCATTAAAGACTTTTATTTATTTATTATTAGTTTATTATCTAATATCCATTATATCTTATATAAAGAAGTAATTGTAGAATTTTATTGAATTTAAAAATTAACCTATTATTTTTTTAAATTAATGATTAAATTTTTAAAAAATAATAATAATAATAAAATGAGATTTTTTATGTAAAATAAATTTGATATTAATACATATTGGAGATAGTATCTATAATAATATCTTCTTTATTATAAATTCATTATTCTTTGTCTATATATTTTTTTATTGTCACTTTCAATCCTTCCATTATTTTTTTATTGTGTGCCTTCAATCTTTGTTAAAATATAAATTTACAAGCCTATACTTCTCTTCTTTCTATCTTAAATTTTTTGGTTAAATTGTCATTAAACTTTTGAATTCTAATCTTTTTTATTTTATAATTTTTAAAACTAAATACAATATTTAATTATTTGATCTTATTATAATATTTGAACTAATCTTTATGTAATAAGATGAGGTTTTTTTTATTAATATAAGAATGGTTTTATTATCTAAAAGATACTTCTAATCTATTATCTATTTATTTAAATCACAAAGACCTTGAATATTTTATGTTAGTACATGTATTTTATTATTGATTCAGGCTTTTTTGATCAAGTTTATGTAAGTATGTCCTTAAATTCCTTTGTGTGTGATATCAAAAATAAACTTTCTAAATCTCATAATATTACTAAGTTTAAATTCAAGAAAAATCTTTTGTATTTTAAGAAATGCTTATATGTTCCAAAAGACAAAATATACTAATATATTCTTTAAGCTTATCATGATTTTTTAGCTAAAAGATATTTTGGATACAAAAAAATATTGAAGTTAATTATAAATGATATATGATGGCTTCAAATATATAAGGTAATTAAAATATTTATATAATCATGCAATATTTTTTCAAGATCAAAATTCTATATTATTGACTTTATGAACTACTTAAACTATTACTTATACTTGAAAAACCATGGTCTTTTGTATCTAGATTTTATCATGGATCTTTAAATCTCAAGATCTAATAATTTTCATATTTGTGATAATAGATTTTTTTATTAAAATTATATATTTTGTACCATATACAAAAACTATCACAAATGAACAAACAATTAGCTACTTTCTTGACAATTTCTATTATTATAATAAATTTTAAAGAAATATTAAATTAAATAGAAAAAATTAATTTATATTAATTTTTTAGAAAATCCTATTAAAGTTATTAAAGATAGACATAAAACTATCTTTGATCTTTTATCTTCAAATTAATAGATAATTATAGTAAATAAATTTAATATTGAAGTAATATGTATAATGTATCATAAACTACTATCAAAATGATCAAACAATTATTTTTTTACTATTGTCAAAGATTACTTATAATAACATGGTATATTTTCCACTAAACAATCATTTTTTTATGTTAACTATGATTATCATCAATAATTTGATACTTTTGACGTTTCAAAAGCTAATAATTATATGACAAAAGATTTGGAGAGTAATTTTTAGAGTTACATAAAATATTGAATGCACAATTAAAAGATCCTTGGAAACAACAAAAGATTAATACAAATGTCTATTGCAAAAAACAATGTCAATTCTATGTTAGGAACAAGATATGGTTATTCTATTGTAATATCAAGACTATTTTTTTAAGATAAGTTAGATTATTATAAACGTAGACCATTTCTTAATTGTGAATAAGTCAATTTAATTGCTAATTGATTATATCTACTAAAATCCATGAAAATCCATTTTTTTTATGTCTCTCTTTTTGAACTATACAAGACAATGAATATACAAGAAAGAAGTGAATTTCCATTTTCTCCCATAGAAATAGATTATAATTAAGAATTTAAAGTAAAAGAAATATTAAACTCAAGGTAATGTCAAAATAGAAGAAAATATCTTGTACATTGGCTCAAATATAATAATAAGAAATACACATGGGAGCCATTTAAGAATCTTATAAATACAACATAGAAGATTGGTATTTTTTATCAACAAAATCTATAAAATCCAAAATAAAGAATTAATATATCTTTTGTAATAAAGTAAAAAAACTTTAATAGACAATTAATTTTATCTTGTATCTTTATTTTTTGTTTTTTTGTATTTGTAATGAAAAATCAGCAATCAATATATTTAAAAAATACATATTATTTATTAATTTATTAGACAATCCGTTAGAAAATTTATAGCCTTTAAGACAACATTAAAGAAATAAATATTCTCAAGAACAAAATAAACTTTTTTAAATCGATAGTAAGATACAATGCATTTGAGCTTACAATTGTAGAAGAGGCTCTTGATATTTGGTAATACTATTTGAGGTAGGAACCACACTTAATAGTATTTTTATTATTTTATTTGAAAAAAATTATAAAGATTTCAGCAATAATCAAATAACATGGTTGTACTATGTCTTATTTTGGTATAATACCGATGATTGATAAGACATATCAATTATTTTTAAAGAAAATAAAGATCAAAATATTTGGCAAATATAATTTATTGTATCTTAAATAACTTCAATATGTAATCATTGCTCTTACTAGAATTTATCTCTAGTGAGAAGAAGAATGTCATGCACATCAATAGTAATATTATTAATTAAGAAGATAATAGAAATTAGGTAGAAATATATAAAAGTAAGTTATTTTTATAATTTATTAATAAATATATTTTAAACCTACTTAAATCTAAAGTACCAAAGTTTGGACTTTAGACTTTGTCAGTAGTAAGTCTCTATTTATTTATTTATTTATTTATTTTTGTAATAAAATATTGTCAAAGACAAATACCTGAAAGAAGATAAATAAAAAAAATTAAAATTTTATAAAAAAAATATATAAATTTTATTAAAAATTATTTAATAAATCTCACATAATTTTTCTTCTATTATTTTTTTTTAATTTTTATTTATTATTCTTCATGTGATAATTTTTAAGTATAAGTATTTTTTAACTTACAGCAAAACTTAATATATTAGTGTAATTGATTTTTTTCATCTTTATGTTTTTAATAACTAATTTATCTATTTTTATATATTCTTATAAAAATTAAGATTTTATTTAAATTGTAAAAAATCAAAAAATTATGAATCTTTGTTTGTATCAATTCTAATCAACTATTAGCATTATTATTCTTTCTTTTTTGCTCTCAAATTTGAAAAACAACCATTTGACCTATTATTATTAGAATAATATATGTAGCCTTATTTAAGATTTATAATAATAAATAATTTCTAATATTATATATAATATATAACTTTAAATATAATGTATAAATATATATATCTTTAAAATTAAAATAATTTCCTAATAAAAATATTTGGTTTTTTTATAATATGAATATTTATATCTATATATATATATGTATATCTATACATACACATATTATTTTATAAAATATAATGGTAGTAAAAAAAATATTTAGCTATTTAAAATTTAATTTTCTTTTAATTTTAATTTATATTTGTGTGAAAATTATTTGTTTTTAATGTTATCTTATTTAATTTCATATAAAATTCATGATATATTCTAATCAATTTTAAAATTCTACATTTTCAAAATCCCAAAAGGAAATTATTATATTGTTTTGCCTTTCTTAGTTTGAACGAACTTGTTTATTTATTTTTAATCTGCTGCAACATCTATCAGATATAGTTCGAGTCTATGCAAAAATTTATATTTTACATCATATTTATCAATTAATAGCAATGCAATATACAAAGCACATCTAAATTAGATTTTTTTAGATGGTGTTCCTATGATCAAGAGTATAAGCATTTGTTACTTATGGAAAGTATATATTCAAATAGAAGTCATTCACAAAAACAAAAACAAAAAAAAAAAAAAAAAAAAAAACAAAACAAGTTTAACATGAATCTAAAAAACTAATGCAGGAAACTAATTCGATATTCCATTCTGTTGTATATTTTTAATATTTTTTAATATATTTTAAAATTTGATAAAGTAATGTTCTTATTTTTCTCAGAAATAATGCACTTTGTAATATATGTTACAAACCATTATTTTGAAAAAATATTTTATAAATTTTTTTCCTTTTCTTTCTTTCATTTCCTGTCATTGTCTATGCTCAGAGAACATCACAATATAGAAAAAATTTAATCTTTAACAGCTTAGAACACATGTAATAACTCACTAAAACTAAGAAGTCTTGAGCAACTGTTCTTTTTTGGTTGTATTTTTGTTTCAAGAAGTAAATTCTCAAAAAGCACACTGCAATTAGAATTCCAAAACATCAATGCTTAAAAAGACCACAATGCTGGCTTCGGAGTATTGATGGTGCAATGACGAGAAATCTTAAATGTTCTAAAAATTTATATATGAACATTGAAGACTTGACACGTCGACAAAAATCAACATATAAGAACTTCTCACTTGAGCAGTTTGCAAACTTCACAAAGTGATAACATAACAAAAATTAAATGTAACAACTTGTTTCACATACATGCATATATGAATATTTAGAAATGGAGTATTCATGTGACAATTAAGGAGGTTTTAACATACCGTTATGGCGATTCAATATGAGGAATCTGCCGAGCTTTGAGCTCATCCTACATCTGCTTGTCTGGGATCGCCAAACCACAAGTAGATTACGATCGTGCTCATCGGAGCAGATGATTAATCCAGTTTGCGGATATTCTATCACGAAAATTTCAGTGAAGAACATCGTGCTTGGTTGATGTTGCAATGTAAAGATCGGTAAAACTGGTTGTAGAAATGGAATCATGTGGATCGGGGATGGTCACTGATAGTAAAGTCTTACTTGAGAGTTGTTTCTGCAGGAACTGCTGCAGCAGAATCACTTGCAGCACGCTAACGACGATGATGGCGAACACTTCCAGCACAGCCTTGTACACCAATCGCCTGCTCAAGTCACCAAGAACTGCACGAACGACCCCGACAAACTTGTGGGTTTTCTAAGGATTTGTCAGCTTGCAGAATGAGGGATTTATTTAGTCAAGGTTGTGAAATGGCTACCTACTCGTTGCGTGCAGGTTGAAGTGCGATGCAAGCCAATCTTGCTCCAACTCAACGTCCAAGAGTGAATCCGAAAGGTCTCTGATCTGCTTCATGAGGGATTGTATATGCTCTGCACTGCGTGCATCGTCGCATTAGCTGGAGCCTGAATCTTAATCGTCCCACTGCGACGACAGGAAATTCATGCATTTGATGAATTGGTTTGTGGAGCTGATACGAACCGTCTTTGACAGGTTCCTGATAGTCAGCATCTGGGTGTAGCATGTCGAGGATCACAGTCTCTACCCACGATCCTCGATTGTGGAAGCAAATCTTGTAGCGTCCCTTCTCTACCGCGGTGAAATTGATTGTAGACCCAAATTCCCATGGTAACAATCCTGCATGGACTTGGGATTGATGTTTCAATTTCTCCGTATGAATGAAATGGCCTCCAGGAGATTGGATCTACAAAACCAAGAAAATAAGACACGTGCCAAGCAGTTACCCATGTTATTTTGGCTTGACATGGGGTCAGCTCAATTGGATTGATAGTGGCATTTGCTACACCCAAAGTGCTAAAGCATCGGAGTCTCGGATGGCTCAACGTAAGTGTCAGAAAGATCATCCGGTGTTGTAGGTTCTGAAGTGATAATTCGTCGCTTTTGAAACGTCTCAGTCTGTGATGAATTTCATATCTAAAGGTTCATCACCAACTGAATGGCAGCTAAAAAGGATTTTACACGGGAATCACAATTCAATCACGTGACGATTTTCACAGAACGATTTTCGCGATCCCGCTGAAAGACTTACAACGACATCCACTCCTATGTGCCGGAAAGGCGGAGGGTTGAGTTCTTCGGCAACCTTCACAAACATGTGCACGAATTCACCATCTGCCTCCGCTTCATGCATCAAACACTCTCGGTGCTCGAGATCAAACCTAATTCCTTCAGCACTCTTTAGCCACATCAATCCTAACACCGACAACCATCTCCAATGGTCCCATGAGTTGTTCTTCATTGTTGGCAGCCTCGCTAATCTGATCAGATTGTGGTAACCAAATCTCCAGCTGCAAAGTCATACATTTGCTGAGTTCGTGCAACACCTACTTTCTACCTATTTCTAGATTGAGGGTCTTAGTAATAAAAATCGGTTGCAAATTGTAGTTACGGTTATCTTCACTTGTTGCGGACAATTCTGTTTCTAAGAAACGGCACCACCGCTTCTATTTCTTTTGAAATACTGGTCGATTTGACTGATGAATGAGGATCGCCTTGGGAATCGCTCCTTACGTTTGACGGCGGCTTTCATCCAAGAATATGCTCGCAGCTTTGTTTGGAAGGTTTTATCACTAGTGTCACCGTTTCTTTTTTTTTTCTTCTTTTTTTTTCTTTTTTTTTGCGAAAAATACAAGGTTTGTATTCTACGATATTAAAACTAAACATCTTAATTATTTGGATTTTCATTGTCACCTCCTGTTTGATTTCTTTTTACGCAGAGTAAAATTCTGAATTTTAAGTGTATTTATGAAAATTGTAATGTGTAATTTGATGACAGAAGATTTGAGTTAATGACTTGGACTTTTGATTAATATGTTTTTTTTTTTTTTTTTTTTTTTTTTCCTAACATAAGAATATTTTCTAATTTTAATTCATTACATGTTAACTAAATAAATATATGATGCATATATTTATTGTAATATTAAGAAGAGAAATAAAATTATGGATTAAATTCTAGAAAAATCATCTTCTTTTTTAACAAAGCTTTACCTTACTGGATAAATTTATAACAACCTCACAAATCGATTTAAGCATTAAAATCTTAAACCTTATATGGATTTAATTTAAGGTTGTAATAAAAGTCAAAATGTTGATAGTAAAAGTCAAAACACTTTATAAGAGATTAAACTTAATATCTTGTAACCAACCTAACTAAGAATTTCGATTGATTTTTAAAACTCAACTTTTACGAGCTTGATTAAGATACAAAATGTATAATTATACAAGTCTGGTGTTGCAATCAGATTATGGTTTTAATATTGCACTAACATAATTCAAGCACAATATTACTGGTGTAAGTTTACTTCAATCATCTACCAAACATTCTAAATTTATGCTTCCAGCATCACGATTTTTTGAGAAAACGATACCTCTATTTTCAAAAAAACAAAATAAGTATATATAGGTATATTCACATCAAACTACTCTGAAATGCAAAAAATCCATCTAGATGTGTAAAACAGTCAGTTTAATTTACAAATGTCACTGAAACCATTTAATACCTACAACACCTAATCTTAGGTAACAGCTAACTTGTTGTGATAGACTAAAAAAACAATCTGGTCGCTAACATAATAAATCCCGAAAGTACTGAGGTATCACAGTGTTGTAGTGTTCATTTGTGTCAATCCAATCAGAGTCACATCAAATTGTATAAATTTGCCAGAGTTTCGAACGAGACTATCTAGAGTTCTGACAGATGAAGTGTATAAAAGAAACCTCCGATGTTAGCAACGCTGGGAACCCGAGTATACAAACACATCGTACAAACAATTGAGGTACAGAGTTTCAATTAAGTCAAGTATCATGAAACAAGTTCCTTAAGATTAAAACTAAATAGACATCAGGAGGAATAATATCAAAGTGTTTAAAACGCACTACCAACATCGCATGCTTGAGGAGCAACAAAGTTCAGGAAGATGGTTGAATGTGCTGCTAATATCGCTAAATCCGACCCTTATCTACAATGTGGCCCTAGCGTAGGTTTAAAATCTCAAGTAAAACCACTGCAGGCAGGAATGCAAGTCAGGCAGTTGGAAAGACGACTCCGTTGTCAAGATGGCCCAGATAAGGACTTTAAACTTCCCAGAAACTCAGGAAGGGTGATGTATAAGGTGGAAAGACGTATCCTTCCATGCTCGAGAGATGATAAGTAAATAATCAATTAGTCAGATTTACTAACTCATAAGAAAAATAGTTTCTCTACGCTGATAACCATATCCGTTGCCGGCCGACAAGTGCTCAATCATAAGCCAACCAGAAAAATCGAAGCAAGCTAAGGAGCACAATCGCAACGGAAAGAAACTAAAAAACATGAGACCCCCAATAAATCAAAAAATAATTGCAATCAACACCTGAATAGAAGTCACCTGCAAGCGGCTTCCGCTACAGAAGACCAACAACTGCAGCTACCTTCTCATCGATAGACGGCCTGCCTTTCATGCACAGGCGCGACGCCATCCCCAAACACAACTGACTTCTACCTAAAGTACACGGGCCTCCCCTCTTCCTCTCCACTTCTCATCATCTGAACTGGCTGCCCTCCCACGTCTGCCCAAATTTCCATCCGTTCCGTACTGCATTCATCGAGTACAGCGTTCGCCCATCGCTCGTCACCAACGTGAAAGACAGCGGTCCCGTCATCTTCGTCCTCACCGTCCACAGGCATCCCCAGTTCCGGTACGCTGATACCCATCCCGTGTATGGGCACTTGACCTTCACCGACACCACATCCCCTGCTCCGCCCACGTTGTGAATCAGCACCATCAAGAACCATGGGTTGCCTCCAATGGTGAACCGCACCCCACCGCGCTTCGCACACCGGACCCTGTCATCATCACATTCAACCCACACATCCTGTTACCATCTACCGCTCATCCGACTCAATCCCCTCTTCCCACCCACATGTCATCCACGTCTCATTCACAATCCGCAGTCCACCACACATTTCTCCAGAACACTCCTCGCAACCACCTTCTCATACAATGTCTCCACAGTGGCGCTACTTACTTCCTGTACCACACTGGGGCAACACCTCCTTCGCGCCGCGCAAGGCTAGTGAAAGCGGGCATCGGCAAGTCGAAGTGCGACTTGGGATAATCGCACCACCCACCATGCGAACCCTGCGGGCACAGGTTGGTGGCAGTCACCACAATGGCCCTGGCGTAACTCCAGCACCAGTTCCTGCCACGATTTGGTGCGCACCTCAGCTGGTAACATCCGCCGCACGCCTTCCCGCCCTGGAATAGACGAGAGCTCAACGCGGCAGTCATTGACCCATACCCCAGCTTGTAGGTATTCTGGTACCCGCAGGCGCCGCCCTCCGTTCCAGCGCCGTTGGGAGAGCCATAGTACGTGATATGAGCATCACCCCAACCCCGCGGCGCCGCGATCACCGTGGTCAGACCCAGCGCAAGAAACAGCACAACGAGCTTCAAGTTGGACATCTTCATGACTGTCTTGCTCCTGGAATTTATAAAATGGAACAAACTCGATAAGACTTACATGAAGAACTGCAAAAAAATTCCCCTGCACGACGAAACACCGTGAGCATGACAGGTTCCAGTGTCATGAAGCACGTTGGCTCAAAGTTGTGCTCCACATGCATACATACAAAACAGACGCTTCGACTGACGTGAAATCACATGGTGCTTGGCTCAGCTAGATCTCGGATAAGACGAACATCGCAGACGAACATCGCAGTTTCTGTAGCTGAGACACATACAAAGGAGTGGACTTTCACTGAAGTGGGAGCAACCAATCGACGGCGACTTCAACGAAAAGGATGGAATGCAGGCAGCCGATGATATGGACTCCTGGCTTCCATGGAAATTCAACACAATCCGCCGAGCGAACGAGCCGGAGAGAATGCAGGAAGTCACACTTTACCAATCGCCTTCATTAATAGGCAACGATCGCACAATTTTGCACTTGGTTTGTCCTGGAGACAAATGTCCCCCCGTACACGATCCATATGGTACGTGTGGTACAGAATCTCCGAAGCAGATGTGGGCGAATGGTTTTGTCCGCTTGCCGCTTGGTTGCTGCGCAGGCTGTGCCCACACCGCGGATTCCCTCTCCTGCCTCCCTCTCGAAGGAATATCCCGATGCCACCATCGCCGGAGAATGCCGTCTTCGCCTCGACCTCTCCTCCGCATTCCAAAAGCAACGACTGAACTGAACTGATCGCGGTGCGATTCCATGAAAATGCTATTCGGACTGCAATTTCCTTGCGAGATCATGTCCCCTGAATCCTATCGAATTTTTCGAAAACACGAGCCCGCTGCCCCACCCTCCGGAATGACGTGACAAACGAGCAGACCCCCAATCTGCTCTGGTAAAGAATGGTAGGCACGAGCTCTATGAAAGTTCCATTTATGATTTATCGATAATGTTTCTTTGCGTTTAGTGCATATTTCTTTGCGTATTATTTCGTGAAGTGTTTGAATTATTCCTCAAGTGTTGCGTGGTTTATGGAACTTGTATTGGTCTTCAATGCATGGATGATATGTGATATCTCATTGAGTTGAAGTTTAAGAACATTGGGCTTATATGCATCACCTGCTTGATGTATGATTATGTGCTTCTAGTTAATCAAATGAAATGTGGTGAGAAGAATAATCTTTAATTTTGTGAGAAGAATAAATCTAGAAATGGTGAATTTTACAATTTGGAATTGTGCTGAATAGCATGTAGCACAAGTACTTGCTGAAGTTTCTAAAAAGTAGAACATAATTTAACTCTACTCATATAGTATGTGTTTTAATAGAGTTATTATGGTAAAAAAACAATTACACATAATTAATTTCTATTATTATTTGTAATATAATTATTGTAAATAAGTACAAAAAAACAAAATTTTACTTAGTATATTTGATATTATAAGGGTTTAAATATATCAAACTAATATAAATTTGTTGTTGTAATAAAAACAATATGTGTGTGTATATGTGCACATACATACATACATATATACATACATACATACATATATACATACATACATACATACATACATATATACATACATACACACACACATATATATATATATATATATATATATATTAGAATAATTTTCCATAATATACTAAATAAATTTAAATAAAAAAGAAATCCTTATACAAGTCAAATTAAGAATTATATGGCAAAAAATTATATTAATATTTTTAAATTATAAATATAATAATAATATATTAAAATCATGTATATCATAGATAAAAAATTTAAAAATTAGATACTATCTATTTATTTTTAAAAAAAATATATATTTTTTAAAACTATAATTAACACGATTTTATCTATAAGCTAAAAAAATATTTTATTTGTGTTATATTTATTATTTTATATTATTTTATTTATATATTTAAATATTTATTAATCATAAATTTGAGATACTACAAAAATGATATTATAGAATTTTTATACAATAAATGTATAGAACCAATATATTAGATTATTTGATTTTTGATTAGTCGAACTTTATGAAATGTTTTTAGTTAACAATTTTGTTTAGGCATATAGAATATTAAATTTAATAATTTTGTATTACAGACTTATATTTTTTTTTTTAATTAAACGAATTAGATAGAAATAAGTAGAAGTAAGTAGATTTGATAATATCTTACTACAAAACTTCTTATAAAATTCATAGATGTGGATTTAAATTTATATAAAATTACAAGTGATTGATAGGTTGAAAACTTGCTAACAACATGGCCATGTGTTGTACATGTTGATGACTTACAATACAAGTTGGCCACATACTATACATGTAAAAATTTTAACTTGCAAGTTAAATACATATCTTGCAAGTTAGACATGTGATGGAGATTCTATAAAACGGCACTATGTAGCTCCTAGTTAGATGGTATAAATGGAAGCAAGAATAAAGTCTTATTTACTCTTGTCAATGTCTTTCTTGTTCTTAGTCTTGTTTCAAGAGTCTCTAGTCTTATTCTCTTTGGCAATAGTTATTCTAATTTTTATATTATTCCATTTTTGAGTGATTCACTACTCTTTTGTAGTGACATAAGAGTATAGTGACACAAGAGTGTATTGACTCCTTAGTTCTTTATAGCTTAGGGCCTTGACACTTTGTGATAATTTATTATAAGAGTATTAGTTCTCAAAGTTGGTTTTGATAGTTTGTATTTACCACTCTTAATCATAGAAATGCAATAACTTGAATTGAAACAATATCGTTCAAAACTATAAACAAAAATAGGTATTATTTTGATTTTTTAATTTTTTTTTATAAAAATATATTTTGATTATTATTTTTTACTTAGTATCAAATTTTTTATATATTAATGTTTGATTCATTAATTTGATTACATAATTATTGCCTTTCATTGTAGTAATTATTAAAATAATAATTTAGCAAAACAAAGATGTTTTTTTTTTTATATATAATTATTATTATTTTGAAATTATTATATATGTATTTGTAATACATTTGTGATAAAATCCTAATACATTAATTGAGCATCCTAAGTAAGGAGTTACACTATTAATAATAAATATTACCATTTATAATACTATGTGATTTGTATGGTCTATAAAATAATTTTAATGAATTCTAGCAAAGTCAAGGTACAAAGAATAAATTATTTTGTCTTAGTTTTATTTATTATATACTGTGTTTATTCTTGATATCTCTCAACAATCAGAGAATTTGATCAATTGATTAGTATTGAAACTAGACAATAACTAAAAAACTACAAATCATATTGCAATAGATCAAAATATATTAAAATTTTAATTTTATTTGATTTTCAATTAATACATGATTAAATTGCTAAAGTCCATATTTTGTAATTTTTTATTATCTTGCAAAATTATTCAATGGTCAAAGATAGTAAATTACATACAAACATATAAAATAGATTTGATTATAAATTACAAAAGATGAAGATTTATATGTATTAATTTAAGATGTGCCACTTACATACAAAGTTTGCATATTTAATATACTCTAATTTATATAACTTGTAATATTATATAAAAATTTAGAGTTTCTTTTTTAAATTATACTTTTTTAAATTATATTTTAAGATACAAACATAATAAATGTTTTAATAATTTATACAAAATAATTTTAAGATAAAACATAAAAAATAATTTTAAGATAAAACATAATAAACACATGATTAAATTTTGAAACGTGAAGCCATGATAAAATAGAAATGGGGTTTTTGAAGGTAGCAATCCAAGTCGAGTCAAAGCAATTTGGACAACTCAGACACACTGTTGAAACTTAGAAAACAATGTTTTGAACTCTAATGCAGTTGTCGGTTTGCGCATTCAAAGTGGCCTATATTTGAAAGTATTCCGCGCTCCTTCGAACACTGACGATGTGAGAATGCAGCACCGCCGACGCGAGGAAAACGAGGTTGAGGCAGGAGCACGTGGACTCAATTCGAATGTGGGGACACACTCAACTGAACTGGACGTGGAAAAGCAGCTCATCGGATCACTAGAGGCGCGCGCGGGCAACCGAGAATTCCTCCCACTTAAATTCACCATTTTAAAAACCACGTGGAATTGAATGCGAGTAAAAGTTGAGCTCCATCTCAGATAGGGTGAGAGAGGCAAGCGTTCGTCGTCGACTGGCGGGTCTAGAAACGCCGATGCGGGTGGCTTCGCGAAATTTTTGCGTCTGGCTATTCGAGGATCGGGTGATCATGGATGTTGATTCCAGCAACGCTGCTCGATCCTTCCTCGGCTTGCCGGCACCACAACCTTTCTGTGCTTCCGCTCCACTTAAGGAAGGTTTCTCCATTTCTGTTGTTGTCTGGACGTGCCGCGCTTGTCACCTCGGACATGACATTCCCTCAGCTCGTCTAGTTACGTCCTTTCGTCCTCAGATTCTGCCCCCACATCTGCTTCCTGTAAGTGGTCTTTGCTGGTACATGTTATGAGCAAATTTAGAAGAACTATTTATGTTTGTCGTGCGGTGCCGTGGAGATCTCCGCAGATTCCACTGATTACATTGATTCCATCCATGCGTGCAGTTTTATTTAGTCGAGTTGCATGAGTTTGCGGTTGCTGCTCCAGTTTTGACATCGTGAGGTAGGTGTGATTGTTCTATTGTTGACTACGATGTTAAATGATCAGGAGATTTCAATGATGCAAGTTGTTGCCGTTCACAGGAGCGAGACAGTCATGAAGATGTCCAACTTGAAGCTCGTTGTGCTGTTTCTGGCGCTGGGTCTGACCACGGTGATCGCGGCGCCGCGGGGTTGGGGTGATGCTCATATCACGTACTATGGCTCTCCCAACGGCGCTGGAACGGAGGGCGGCGCCTGCGGGTACCAGAATACCTACAAGCTGGGGTATGGGTCAATGACTGCCGCGTTGAGCTCTCGTCTATTCCAGGGCGGGAAGGCGTGCGGCGGATGTTACCAGCTGAGGTGCGCACCAAATCGTGGCAGGAACTGGTGCTGGAGTTACGCCAGGGCCATTGTGGTGACTGCCACCAACCTGTGCCCGCAGGGTTCGCATGGTGGGTGGTGCGATTATCCCAAGTCGCACTTCGACTTGCCGATGCCCGCTTTCACTAGCCTTGCGCGGCGCGAAGGAGGTGTTGCCCCAGTGTGGTACAGGAAGTAAGTAGCGCCACTGTGGAGACATTGTATGAGAAGGTGGTTGCGAGGAGTGTTCTGGAGAAATGTGTGGTGGACTGCGGATTGTGAATGAGACGTGGATGACATGTGGGTGGGAAGAGGGGATTGAGTCGGATGAGCGGTAGATGGTAACAGGATGTGTGGGTTGAATGTGATGATGACAGGGTCCGGTGTGCGAAGCGCGGTGGGGTGCGGTTCACCATTGGAGGCAACCCATGGTTCTTGATGGTGCTGATTCACAACGTGGGCGGAGCAGGGGATGTGGTGTCGGTGAAGGTCAAGTGCCCATACACGGGATGGGTATCAGCGTACCGGAACTGGGGATGCCTGTGGACGGTGAGGACGAAGATGACGGGACCGCTGTCTTTCACGTTGGTGACGAGCGATGGGCGAACGCTGTACTCGATGAATGCAGTACGGAACGGATGGAAATTTGGGCAGACGTGGGAGGGCAGCCAGTTCAGATGATGAGAAGTGGAGAGGAAGAGGGGAGGCCCGTGTACTTTAGGTAGAAGTCAGTTGTGTTTGGGGATGGCGTCGCGCCTGTGCATGAAAGGCAGGCCGTCTATCGATGAGAAGGTAGCTGCAGTTGTTGGTCTTCTGTAGCGGAAGCCGCTGGCTTGTGTCCTGAGCTTTTGTGAAAGCCGGTCACTGTAATTCTGTGCTTCTTGTAATCGTCCTTAGATTTTAGCTGAGGTGTTTAGCATTTTTCCTCCCGAACTATTTAATACACCTGGAAATAGTGAAGTCGGTTCAAGTTGATTTATGTACGGCATTAGGCACCATGTTTTCCTCTTGCTTATCTCTTACGTTCTCTCTTGTGAGACTCATTGCCAGACCGTGACAAACTACTTGTGAATTTTATTGAATTTTGTGCTTGCGATTCGAAGGTTTGAATGCTCGCAAGTTACAGTTGACGTAGGGATTACATGAATGAAATTACAGTATGGCTCTGGAATCACAAGGGTGCCGTTAGAAGTAATCTTGTTACCACTATCATATATTTCATGTCCTGGATGTCTGGAAATCTTCTTAGTACTACTAGTTTTATCTTTTGATAATAGTTTATGGTGCAACATTTGGTGGTGAATTATATGGGAGATGGTACTCCGAGATCGGCTATATCTTCTGCGTTGTATATTGCAGATGCTTTTTTCTATCGTAGCATCTCCAAAATTACTGCAAAAGTAATTTTTCTTGCCTAGTTTTCTAACTGTTTTGAGAGAAATGGAGAATGTTGTCATGGTATCTGTTTGTTTGTTTCCTAAGACACTTCATTGCGAATGGTTTTGCTTCACCATAATATCAAAATAGCAACTTTAATGGCAACATTTTTTTAAATCCATATTTTTAGGGGATATTAGAACATTCTGCATTCATCTGCAGCTTTAAAACTCCTCTTCTATTATCTAAAAAACATTTATGATTTTTTAAATAAATAATTATATAGTAAATGTCATAGATTGTTTAAGCTTGAAAAACACATGTTTAACATTTGATTACATTTTTTTATTATTAGTTTTGACTTATCTTTATGTAATAAATAAAAAGTGATTTGTACAACAATTAGTAAAGTATGTAATTTTGAATAAAGTAAGATTTATATATATTTATATATATATATATATATATATATATATATTATCAACAACTATTGAATCTTTTTCCAACATAAGATAATGCAATACAACTTCCTCTTATCACAAATTTTTTTAGTTGACTACAAAACACTTTTAAGTATGGTTGCTGTGGATCTTAATTTATCCTAATTAGAGTCGTTAGTTCTTTGGTTGGTGAAGTTAAAAAGTTCTTAATCAAACAAGTTAATAACCAGTATCAAAGGCAAAACACACCAATTCTTGAGTCTACAACAATTCAAATATATACTTAAGGATCCATCTTCTTTTTTTTTTTTTTTTTTTTTTGCATGAAGCAAATTAGAGACTTTGAATGTTAGATAAAGTTATTTTACAAGATTTTTGTTGAAATATGCTTTCAAATTAGCAAGTTTATTTTTCCACAAACTATAAATTAGTATAAATAATGGTTAAGTTCTTTCTTGATTTTTGATTGAAAAATTGCATGATTGGTATTTTGGAAATATATCAATATTCTTTTTTTTAAACACATTTGGTATTCTTTATATTGCTTTGAGGTTCTACTACAACTTTCATTTGATTGAATACTTAGTGATGTATAAATGATAGATAGATCTTTTTATTTTGCATCTTGTATAAATATTATAGATCTAAAAAATTAAGATTAAGATGCTTTACTTAGCTTTAGACTAAATCTTAAAATAACCTTTTATATTTTCTAATTAATATCAAGATTATATAATTCAATTCAAAGAAAGCCAAATACCATTAAATTTAAAGGATATTAAATGATGTTGAAGATAATGTTAGATTCTTAATCTTTTAATGATACTTTTAATAGTTTTTTTCTTTCTATAATATCTCTAGATATAAATATTTATCCATCATTAACTTCTACTTGAGCTGATTAAATTTTCTTTGATATTATTCAATTTTGTTGCAATAAAAAGTCATCAATAAAGCATGTTCAAGCTATGATATTTAGAAGTGCTTAAGCCAAAAATTCACAATTTAAATTTTTAATAATTAAAAGAAGTTTAAAACAAGGCATAGAATTTGGTGGTAGTATAAGATTTGTATTTAGTAGTTTTGATTTAGATATGACAAGTTATAAGATTTTTGAGACAATTAGATATTTTTTTTATAATATAAAATTAAGTTTTCATAAAAATTAAATTATTTTTTATTATTTTTTGTTTGTTTGTTTGTTTTTTTGTTGTTTTTTATCTTTTTATTTTTATTTTTTTCTAATGTTAATCACTTAATATGGATTGTATCAATATATCTAAGTTTTGGCTTTAATGAATATATTTCTAAATACTTAGAAGTTGTTATTACTTGATATTTCTTCTCCAACAATTTTTTTGTTTTCAATACATTTCAAAGAAGAAATTATTAGATAAAATTACTTATATCATAAAATATTTTGATATATATTCTTTTTGGCATTGTCAATAATAGATCTTTGGAATTATCTTTTAAATCCTATAAAAATTGATTGATAAGAGCTTTATTATTCTATCTAAAAACTTAAGCAAGTTATTAGAATCTAGTAGTAGAGACAAGAACTGAATATAAGCTTTATTACAAAGAATGGAGTTTTATTTTTTCTACTATTTTAAAATTATTCTTTTTAAATATGACTATAAATAATTCTAAAAATAAATTTAGATCATAAAAAAATTATAAATCTTTCTTCATTAAAAATAAAAATCAAAAAAAGTACTTCCAAATATAAGTATATTTGTAAATCTTTCTTGAGAAATTGATTAGAATATTGAAAAGGAAATAATCTTAAAGAAAACTTGACTTATTATAAAAATCTTCAAAAATTAGATCTTGTATGATCAAACTTCTTTAATATACAAATCTTTGGTTCTTATATTCTTATCAAAGCAAAACTCTTAAAATTTGCTTGTGAAATTGATTTGTTTATACTATTCTTTCAATTGTACAACTTCTTGTCATAAAATTTGGACTTCATTGTCAATTTATTTTATGAATATAGTATTAGTACTTCTATAGTTGAGATTGCTAATATATGATTTTTTTTAAAAAAAAGAATAAAAAATGATGCTTGCAATTGGACATGGATTTTGAAGACCATCTCCATTGTTTGTGGGGGAGCTCAAATAATACAAAAGACTAGACAAACGATATGCAATTCAAATCCTTATGAAATTACACCCCTAGAACTTAATATTTGCACTAACAATCAGCTACAGTAATCAATCCTCCAGCTCACAATGATAGCTTCTTTCACAATTCCCCTGGAAATGCAAATGTAGAATACATCTGAACTAGCAGCAGGGTCACTCGTGACGCTAGGCAGCAGGCTTCATGTGCTGCTAGAACACTATTCATTAGCTCATGAAAAACGGCTGCAAATTGATGCTTATGGGGGTCCAGAGCGTGACAATGGACCTACGAGGATGATTACGGCTGTTCTCATATGCTAGTAGAAAGTGACGAGTGAAGATCACCAGGTATGAGGCTAAAATAGACAGATGGACCTTCAGTAGCACCCTGAGAGTGTTGACTGAGGACTTTAGATCTCGAAGAATGCAGTTTCATGTAATAACTTTGGTAATTGTGTGGCCGATTTAATCATAAACTTGAGGTAGTTCCTTACTCACTCGAGCGTTTTGGAGGATGTCATTTCTAGAAACTGAACTAAACAATTGTAGGACCATCTTGACATTGCATTGTCGTGGCACTGTTTGATAGAATTTCAGATTTTATTGGTATTGTACAAGCCAACATTTTCGATGAAGTTGATACTTATCACATTCTTTTGTGTATTCATCTTCTCAAGCTATTGATCTTCATATTCTACCAAATTCAGTGTAGTGTTCTTTTTGATGAAGTTTGTATTTGCAAAGCATAAAGTTTTTGGTACTATGGTTCCTATGGAGATGGATCATTGTCTTACTGCAATTAGAGTGATTCTTGATTGCAACTGAATGTAATCTCATTATTACGAAGGAGGAAAATACTGATTATTGCAAGGGAATAAAACCATTGTGAAGGAATTCAAGTAGAAAATAGAAAATCTTGTGAGCATGAGTTTATGTGGCGCTAGTAACGTCGATGGTGGCTGGAATTCTTTATCGGGAAATGTGGGAGGCCGTGAATGGCAGAGGTTTAAGAGCTTTTATGAGTTTTCCCACAGTTTAGAAATGGATTGTGGTTGAACATAGGTTTGATTTTGGATCAAACCCGAAGTCTTGATGGTAGTAGATTCATTGTCATCCCCGGTTGTTGTCTGTAATACTTTGTTTTGTGACTGTCGATTTGATTGGTCTTTGATGAGTCAGAGAGTTGGGACATCTCGGAATTTTGTCAGAGTAGAAAAGAAATCGTGCACATCTCGAGGTCAGTGTTTTTCTTTGATTTTGGTTGAGTTGGAGCAATTTCATTGTTTTTGTTCGAGGATGAATTAGGTTGGAGGGATTGACTGAGGTAAATTTTTGGTGTTGGAAATGACAGAAAGAGAGAGAGAAAATGTATAAGTGTGTGTGGAAAGATTTTTATGCAAAGAAGTGGATTGAATTGTGTAGAAACTGGGATTTGTTGGAGTTGGCGCCTAACACAGGCTTTGTTCTATTATCATAGCAATTGTCTTGTGCAAGTACCGCAATAAGAGGGAGACATTGTGCAAATTACAAGTTACATCAGATTAGGTCCATGTTCAAAAGATCGATATTTGCATCTTGTGAAATTTGGTAGTTGAAAATGCTTCATTTGGTCTTCACAAAATAAATGGCACAACGACAACAAGAGGAATTGCTTATATAAAGCAAAGATATTGCTTCCTAAAAAGAACATTGTAGTAGTTAGACAATTTCACAAAAAAGTCCATTCCTATTTTGCAAAAAATTCAAGGCCCTCAGCATGCAATATGGGCTTTGGATTCACTTAAAATAAAAAGAAGATTATAATTTGTCAAGTTGAAGGATAGATTTTTAATTATCACAAAAGTGAGGGATATATTTGCTATTATTAAGAATATAAAGATTTTCTTGATATTTCAACATATTCCAAGGGTATAAATGATATTTTTCCTTTTTTTTCTTTTATATAAGTAAAAATAATACAAGTCAAATTAGAAGAAGATAATCTGTAATTTTTATTATAAAAAAAAAATGACAACAAATAGTGGTAGAAACTTCTTTTTAAGAGAAAAAAAAGAAAAAGCTTCAGAAAAAAAAATAATAATAATTCAAAGGTGCACAATTAGCAATCTTCAAAAATTCCACACCACTTTCTAAGAATTAAAATAACTTATTCATACT